TGACAACCATAGACTAGTACTAGTGTTGAGTCTGCTTTGAAATATAGCACTATTTGTAGAATTCAAGTGGGTCTGATATGTTTTGTGGTCTCTTTGCATATATCAACCACACTGTGCCTCGTGAGCAGAGCAGACTCTGTGGGACTGTGGTTATTCTTGTAACTCAAACATGAGACCAGACTTCATTTAACCCAATGGATATTTATTGTCCAACATAAAATTCACTAATGATTCAGACTTTTACTTGTTATTTTATGACCAACAGAGGACTGTATGAGAACATTCTGTTAATGTTCTGATGACATTTTTGTAACTTTCTCATGTGGCCATAAGATAATCAATATAGAATGCTAACCTTAAGTCATATTGGAAATGTTATTATAAGACCAACAGAGAATTTTGTGGCAATTCATTATTAAAAAAATGGAATCAGTTAAATAGACTTAAAAGCTGGAAGGGCATCCGCTGTGTAAAACATATGCTGGATAAGCTGGTGGTTCACTCTGCTGTGGCCACCCCTGATGAATAAAGAGACTAAGCAGATAGAAAATGAATGAATGATAAACAGACACAAGCAGGGCCAGATGGAATCTTCGGACGTTTTTTGCTATTTCTGCAGTGAATTTTGGTAAAAATCTGCGGATTTCTGTGGAATTATTTTGGGAGTATCCAGCGGAGTATTATAACTAAAACCTTAATATATTAAATAAAAAGTAACAAATTACTGAATAAAAACTGAATAAATTCAGATTTACACATTTGCTCAAGTAAATAAACAGAATTATTGATGGGCTAAAAATCTGCAGAAATCTGCGGAATTCTGCGGAAAATCTGCGGAATTCTGCGCTCGCAGATTCCGTGTGGGCCTAGACATAAGCATCCATGTTGGTTGTTAAAGCATAAAAAGAGACAGAAGTCCTTTTAACCATATGTGCCTTCATTAGCACAGGCTAGCGCAGAAATTTGAAAATACTGGGGTAAAATTAATTTCCATGTTTTAAAAACATGATGCGGGAAAAAAAAATATTGCAGTGGTTCTTGTTTTGTCTGATACCCAATTTATACCGTATCTCAACCAGGCAGATTGATTTTTTTTTTAAGGAAATCAGACCTTAAAGTGGTGCATATACATCCATGTGCATATACCCCATTTACTTCACAAACAACCAGAGCCAATGATCGCCTTTTTAAAGTCATGTCCATGTAAACCATTCAGGGTCTAAACAGTGCATATCTGCACATAATTAAAACATAACATTATGCTTTTCTACATTTTATAGACTCTTATTTGTCATTGACTCGCTAGTTCCTCCCCAACGCCAAACATGACCTGACACACAGCCTGTAGTCTTTGATAGAAGCACAGGCTGGATTAATGAGTGCCACATACACATGATCATGAATGTCTTGCTGTAACTCTTGTTTTGAACTTGCAAATCTCCTTTTATCCACTCAAGTGAAAGAAAGGCAGACATTTTTCCAACAAAAACCCACCGGCTTGCTGACCATGCCTGAGAACATAATCTACTAAATCAATTTACTACTGAAAACATGACACTTTCTGCACACATCTGAGCCTTCACAATTCAAATAGAGCCCTTTCAGTCCTTACAATGCATATTAAATCAAATCAAGGAAACTATAAAGCAGGATAAATCATGTGCTCTTTCACACAAAAGATTTGTTTTTATGAATCCGAGCCTTTAAAAACATGAGACGGTCACTCAAAAGGTCTGTCAAAGTTCGTAACAAAGGGAAAAATATAGCTGTAGCAGTAGGTCGTCAACTTTTGAGTTGCCATAGGAACAGCATGTTCAGACAAGATACAAAGGTCAAATGTGTAAGTGAATATAAGAGTTTTCACTTTACACATTTCACTTAATCATGACTGTTTGTGAGCATTTTCTCACCGATGCGAGGTTTTACTGCACCGTTTAGACCCAATAACCTCATATATTAGGCAATTAAATGTCTTAGTCTGTGGTCGTAAAGCTGCGGACAGTGTAAAGTGTCTCTGACGTGGGAGAATGCTTGGCTGAATGGAAGATAGTAGAGCTGGTGGGGCTTTAGTGCATTGTGGGTGAAAATCACTCGGAAACCTGAACTTAAAGTCGACTTGAGTCACTTCCTCTCAGAGGAGAATAAAGGATGCCTCCCACAAAGAGAAAGAAAGACAAGAAACCACCTCCACATCCGCAGAAGTACAAGAAAAGGGCACATTGTGTGATGTCATGAAAAGCAGAGCGTCTTTTTTAATCAGCTGAAAAGGCAAGGGTAAAACTTTTTACACGCCCTTCCACTGACTGACTCTTGAATTATATATTATAAAGGCAACATACAACATTTGTACATTCTGAGTAAGCACCGGCGTCCTGATGTGTGTGTGTCGGAGGCCTCAGAATGAACAAACCAAGGGCCTTTTGTTTGTTGAAAATACCGAGTTGCAAGTTTTTTTTTTTTTTTTGTGCAAGAGAGCGTCCTTTCACCCTTCACACCCCCTCTGATGTGTTTCGTCCCGTCGTTGTGAGTCACACAGCCGGACGCTGAAGAACTTTGGGAATTTGAAAAACACTTTTCTGGTGGGACAAACAGATCGGTCACAGATGCACTGCAATGGGTCTCCTGCACAACAGCTTGACAACTGTCTGTCACCCTGTTTGCAGCAGTTAGTGATGTGTGCGTCTAATGAGGCGAGAAAGACAGACAGGACACACCACATTGAATACATACCGTGAAGAATCTGCTGAACCGATGGCACTTTTGTTCAACTGGAATATCTTTAGTGTCTTTCAAAACAAAACAAAACAAAACAAAACAAAACAAAGGAAAGAAAACAAACTAAATTGAGTAGATTAGGTCAGTCAATATAGTAAAAATATATGTATGTACAGCATATCAAAAAATTACATTTCTAGCAGATAAACAATAGTAGAAATAACATTAACGTTATTAAATTAAAGCATGATCATATTATCTGACTATATATATATATATATATATATATATATATATATATATATATATATATATATATATATATATATATATATATATATATGTATGAATTTTTTACATTTTAACTCTCCCCAAAGCATCCAAATTCAGTTGAACAGGTAAAAATATTGTTTTACATATAAATAAAACCATACTGTAATCCACATACAAATACACATATCAATCAATTAATCAGTAGTTGCGGTATTTCCTTGTGCCATGGTTTTGTTCCAAAAATTGTATAACCAAATCCTAAATTTTATGGTACTCCTTTAAATAGTTCTTGAAACTGTAGGCAATTCTTTCTAATGCTATGTAATGTGTCAAATCTTTCAGCCAGTGGTCAAATGATGGACTTTCTACACTAAAAACATTGAGTTATTTATTTAACCCAGTGGATTAGATAAAAATATTTAGTGCTTTGTTGGGTTATTTTTAACCTTTATTTGGTTATTTTTTTATTAATAACTTAACTAGTTGGGTTAAATTTTTGGTACTTTGTTGTGTTATTTTTATATTTTATTTAATACAGTACACAGAACTCCATATTCTGCTCCATCAACACATGATTTTCTGCTTGCACAGTTTATATCTGTCTGTACTTTGTTCTGTTTCTTCATTATTTGTGATTATTCGTGTTACTTTTTTATTTTAACAAAAGTGTCTAGAATTTAAAATGTAATGCAAATAAAGCATTTCTTATAACTGTATGATATTTATTTACACAGTCATAATTATAAAATTAATAGTAGTACCAGTAATAATACCAGAATGGAAAAATAACATTTAATCAAATAACCAAATGCCATTTTCCTCTTGTGGTGTTCAGGTTATTGCTAACGCTTCATTCAGTTGTGGTATTTTATATACCTGTTTAACAATGATAACATTGAAATTTCATCACACAAAGACCTGAGTTGCATTAAATTGCCAAAACTAGGTAGGAATTTTGAAGTTTCTCCATTTATGTGTTAAAATTGTTTCAAGTGAACTTACAAATTGTATTGCAAGTTCTTATTTTTTTGGCAGATGTTAAATTTAAAGTTTTGAAAGGCCCAGATGAAAAACCTTATTATGAGTATTTCTGATTTCCAAAGTTGTAAGTATTCTTTATATTATATTATATTATATTATATTATATTATATTATATTATATTATATTATATTATTCATTTTCTTTTCAGCTTAGTCCTTTTATTAATCAGGGGTTGCCACAGTGGAATGAACCACCAACTTATCCAGCATTTGTTTTTAGGCAGCAGATGCCCTTCCAGCTGCAACCCATCTCTGGGAAACATCCATACTCAGTCATTAATACTCATACACTACGGACAATTCAACCAACCCAATTCACCTGTACCACATATCTTTGGACTGTGGGGGATTCCTCAGCACCCGGAAGAGACCCACGCAAACACAGAGAGAACATGCAAACTCCACACAGAAACCAACTGACCCAGCCAAGGCTTAAACCAGCGACCTTCTAGCTATGTGAGGCGACAGCACTACCTGCGCCACTACCTGTTGCCTATATTATATTATATTATATTATTACCAGTACTGTTTTCTGTTTACTTTCTTTCTTACATTTTGCCTTATTACATCAACATGTTACTGTGCAAAGATTCTAACATTTCAGTATGTACCATTTGATTTATGATTTTTAACTCACAGTTTGGTTCAGTTTCACTCTTTGGCTCAATTCTATATATATATACACTTTTAGAATGGGCTATTAATATTATTGTTGGGGGGAAGGATACATTTCACTGCAAATATGTTAACAGAACACCATAGTCTAAGTTGTCACAGTAAAAACTACCAGAATACAAAGAAACAACAAAAAAAAATGTATATAGCCTACTCAATATGGGTTTATTTATTTAAGCTGTAAAACATTGAAACACAAAACAGTGGAGAAAACATGTAAAACATACAATGTAAATGGCATCATGCACAAAAAATACTTGCACAATACAAATATGTGAGTATTAATAAACTTAAAAATGCATGAAATGTAAAGAGCAGTTTATTGTGTTGTATATGTGTATTTATCTATTGATATTCTACTGCTGATTTCCTGCTCTCTCGATGGTTAAAGGCGGTTCGCCGGGAGCCGTGCTGAGGGGCTGGACTGACCGTGACACAGACACTCCACCGGCGGAATAAACCAAACACCTGCCGCCGCGCAGACTTCCAGCACACGGTCAGAGACGTGCAGCGTGGAGCTTACGTGACAAGACGACCAACACATCTTCTGTTTTGTATTCAAAGTGGCAAACGCTGGAGATATTGTCACGAAAACAGCAAAACACATCTTGACTCTTGTTGCCTTTATCTCCTCAAGTGTCCAGATAAGAGCTTAGAAGTATCCCGAGGAATTGCGTGCGCAAACTGCAACTTTTATCACCGTTTTCGGGCTTACTGACACGCCCCAAAAGTGCCAATTCAAAAGGCTGAAGCTATAACAGCTCTTATGTTTTTATGAGGAGGTTTTGGACGGATTTCAGAGTTGAAGGCACGAGTGCTCACAGAGACGGTAAGGAATGTAACGATAACATCTCACCTGCGCCTCAAGAAACCAAATACAGGAGCAACAGACCGACTGAGCCACAAAACCAGCAAATCAGGTGAATATTCAGCGTTTCTTATAGTTTGGAGACAAAAGACTTATACACTTCAGTGTCAGAGCTGCTAAAAGCTGGTGGGTACTTCGCTGGCCAGAATGACATTATAGAGGAATTAGTTTTAAATGGTCGACCCTTAATGGCAGATGCAAATTTGTGCGCGAATTTCAACCACATCCATCCTGGTGATATTTTAGCATAGGCTACTTAATATTGGAGTTGCCAGAATGTAGAAATGTAATACTTTTTATGATTAAAAGCTTTTTATGAGTTAATTTATTGTCATAGAGAGCAAAACATTGTCTAATATGAGATGAAGTAATTCAGTTCTTCTGTATATTTGGATGCACTGATTGGGGTGAAGTCAGGTAAATTGCGTCACTTTTTCGTATATTATCTAAAGCACAACTAAAACATATAATGGATGCATGTTTTACAGATGTTTCTTTGTCTGTTTAGTCAGGTCTCATTTAAATTCAGTGGCTTTATGTTTGACCAGATTATTATTGTATTGTATAATAATATTGTATTGTATTGGCTTTTATGGTTCCATAAACAACTCTTAATATCCATTATATAACATTATAAATGCTATCGAGGTTCTTTATCCCTTTAACTACCCCAATAAGAAAAGAAATCTTTAGATTGCATTTCTTTACTCCCAATGTTGCTAGTTAACACAATCAATAATTTTTTTCCAACACATCCCATAATTTTAAAATTTCAACCTCTACCAAATGGTTGATATGTCTGTAAAAGTACCAAAATTAATACATATACTATAAAAAATCTAAAAATTTGAAATATGAGACCAATTTATTTGTAAAAATATCCAAAAGAAACCCTTTTTGAATGCTGAATCATCTTTATTATTATTATTTTTTTTAAGTATGGTATTTTAGATTCTCATTTGACATGTTTTCTTTTTTTTTCTTTTCTTATTTTTCTTTTTCTTATTTTTTTTTTTTTTTACAATAAAACCAAAATCAGATGTAGGAATGCAACATGAGTATGTTTGTTTAATTATTTAAAAAAAAAATTTGTAAACCATCAATGCTGTGTGTATGTAAACCATTACTTAAAACAGTCATTCTTCAAATTACTTTAATAGTCATTATTTAAAACAGTTAAAACATGGTCAACCGTTTGGTAGAGCGGGTTGTTTGGATTTTTAGTTTCATAATATTTTTAAGCACTGTTTACAGAACAGGTTCTTTTGGAACTAATGATTGTTCTTCTTTAGCACAGCTCTGAAAATCTCCCATTGTAACTTAAGTTTTAAATAATAACTCGCACAAATGTTTAGTTGTGTGTGTGTGTGTGTGTGTGTGTGTGTGTGTGTGTGTGTGTGTGTGTGAGCATTTTAATGGATGCATCATTCCAGCAATATGAATTATTCAACCTTGAACTTAATTCATTTAGTATTACAGTATATAAACAGTTTAAGGAATCAAACTTTAATAAAAAGTTTTGCTCAAAATGAGTTGATTACTTTTATGATTCTGTATAAAGTCTTAGTTCGTTTTCTGTGAATATTTAAAGTTTCTAGTGATAATAATAAAGCTTCTAGTTACAAATTTGCAGTTAACATGGCTGGACAAAATAGTTGGTTCTGCCCTGACCTATAAAATCTGTTGATAATTGTCAAATATCATGTGACAAATATTAAATAGTAATTCCCCTATATCCCACATCATCCTAAATGTTTTTTAAATTGATTTTATCAGTCACAAAAAAAGGGGTAAAATGGACACGTTGGAGTTGGATGTAATGGACGTCATAGATTGCGCCTGAGCATCCATAATTCATATGCAGGCCATTCCAGCAGAGGAAAACTGATACATAATGCATGCTAACAAGAAAGTATAACAGTTTACACCTGTGAAGTTCCACTCAAGATTTAAAACAGCAAATATGCCACTTAGCAGTTTTCTTGAGAGATGTAGGCATGCATATTATTGAGAAAGTAGACAGTAAATTATAATAAATCAATATAATAGATCTAAAAATAATAGTTAAATTGTTGCATTTAGGTATCTATCTATCTATCTATCTATCTATCTATCTATCTATCTATCTATCTGTCTATCTGTCTGTCTGTCTGTCTGTCTGTCTGTCTGTCCGTCTGTCCGTCTGTCCGTCTCTGCCTCTCTGTTGGTCTGTCTAGTTATATTTGTGTGTGCACATTTATGAACGTGCGTCCTACTCTTTCCCCTCAAACCAGTGCCAGAACCAACATGTAAGAACACCTGAGCGACTGATGCTGATGAATATATAAAGTAGAGGAGACACGAGACAGATCTGATCTTGCTCAGAGTGTGAGTTTCATCAAGAGCCAGTGAAACACAGTACAACATCAGAGAGGCTTTTTGAAATCAGGTTCAAAAGTGAGGAGGACGCTTTGAGCTGGAAAAGAAGATATCAATTATTTGTTGGTTTTCTTAGGCCTTTCTTGAGCGCACCCGAGATCACAAATGTGCATTTGCTGCTTTCAGACCACTAATTCTTGGCTCTTGGCTCTCGTGTAAGCCGCTATGATCCCAATCTGATGTCTACAAAGTTGTGATACGCATCTACATGAACATACAGAGAGATAACTATCTCAAGGCCTTTTTTTTTGACTCTCGGCTCTCATTTACCTAGCCTTCTGTGCAATCTCTGCTTCTCTCTCTCACTCTCTCTCTGTCATCTTGCAGTTTGGACATGTAGTACATTCCTTGACAAGCCCCTAGATGCACTTTGAATGTGAATTTGAACCAGTGACAGCTGGCGGAGTCTGGACTGGTGTTTGTGTTTGTGTGACGCGTTTGTGAGTTTGTGGAAAAGGATTAAGCGAGTTGCCTAGTGTCAAAACTTTTGCCTCCACACGTACTTTTGGACCGAACGCGCAAACAGCCGAGAGTGAAACTGGCACACACACAGGTGCAGTACTTAGAAGTGCTAATAAAAAGTATGTACGTTGGCATGGGGTTTAAGCTTATTTAATCATTCATCTCCGTCGAAAAGAATGTATGGACATGCAAATCCTAAGTATGCGAGGGCCTGCTGTGTTGACATCACCCACATACATCACTGGCCAGCTGATGATGTCACAAACCGGAGCCCAGGATCAGTATCTGATGGAAACTGAGCTAAAAGAGGCAGCAGTCGCAGCCCTGGACTCCAGTGAGATCTTCCAAGTTATAACAATGAGCAGCGTGACGGGGCTTTGCAGCAGCTTGGAGTGATTTGCCACCTCCAGCTTTTCCTAGGCACATGGCAGCATAAGCTGTTTCTCACAAGCGACGATTTTTGGGTCAATGATTGTTTTTTTTTTTTAAACAGTGAATATGTAGTCGTGGAATAACTGGAATATACTAATGGATTACTTTTTTTTTTTATCTTTTGAGAGCTTAAAATTGAAAAGTAGTTCACCTAAGATTAAATCTGTCATCATTTAGGTAATTATTCTTCACTTGTTCAAAATCAGTTACTTACTTCTGTTAAACACAAAGTTATTTTGAAGAATATCTATTGATGGTGTTCATCGACAGCTACAGAATTTTTTTTTATTGTTTTACAATGAGAACCATCAGCCTACATTTTTCTAAATATTTTATGTGTTCAACAGAAGAAAGTCATAAAGGTTTAAATCCACATGAGGGAATATAAATGCTGAGGTAGTTTTAATTTTTGGATGAAATATCTCTAAGTAATTTTGTAATGCTTTTTAGTTTAATAATAACTCTAGGCAGAAATCTGAAAAAAACTTAAAACCAGTATTGACAACACAAAGATGAGCCATGCAAACACTGATTTCACTGTGTAAATAATAACTCTCTTATAATTTACCTTTTTATGACAAGGCAATGTCTGTTATGTATTATGAGCAATATCACACGAGTAGCATTGTGATGTGGCTGGATATCGGCACTGGTGGGAGGTGTGTGTTGTGTCCCACCAGTGATGATATACAGCCACATCGCACTGCTATGAGTGTGAATGATATTGCATTTTTACAACAGTTCAACGGCATAATTGTTTATATAAATAAGAAAATCAAACACAGAGAGTCTCAAAAATCCTTTTGTACGAGAAACTACTTTCTTTCACCATTTATTCACATCTGCTGCTGATGGTCAGAACAGCAAAAACTGTTGCTAATTCACAAACATCACTTTAGAGCTAGTGTTTGGATGATTCTCTTGCCTATTGTCTGACGTGATGACAAAAACAGGTGATTTTGCTCACATTTTAAGATTATTAGGTTTAACGGCATGAAATGGCATCAGTCTACAGAGACTTAGTATTTCTCTGTTCTCAATCGACATATCAAAGTAATTAACCCAAAGCAAAGTAAACACTACCAGATTACTATGTTATAAATACAGCACTACAAGATACAAAAGAGAGAATGACTTAGAATGTCACTTACCTGTTTTATATAGATTTAATCAGCTGTAGTTTAAAATTGACGCAGCCATCTGTCGCCATCTTGTTGCTTAACGTTAACTATCTCTGCTCTGCTCAGTATGACATTCTGATAGCCGCAGATGAGCTGAATCTCCAACATCAAAATGATTTAAAATAGCCACTATCCTTATGAAAAAACTGCAAAGTTGCAATCTAAATAACTACATTCTCACCTAAAAAAAGCCTCAAAATTACATTATGTTGTCCAACAGCTGTAATATTTGTCAAACTGTAAGTCTATTCATCTGCTATCACTATGTGAACGGAGTAATACACAAGGATAAAAAGGCTGTAGGAGTGCAGTTATTGCAAAATATTGCACGGTTATCAGCCAATCAGATTTGAGAACCTGATAAATATATATAATTTAAATACTAGTTTAATTTGAAAAGTGTTGGTTTCTGGTAGATGGCAACACACTCTGTAGAGCAGTTTAATGCTAGTTATTTGTTTGCTGTATAGTGTGTGTTATACTAACTATGAATGTGCATCATTTCGTGCTGTCACTGGAAAAGAGAAATTCGTGGCTTTGAAACCAGTGCTGTCCCCAGAACTAGGTACAACATTTAAAACGGCCATTTATGGCCATTTAAAAAATATGTTCCATATAATGTGCGTATCAGTATGAATGAAACTTGTCATTATCACAACATACCGGTGTCAGTTGCATCATTTTACTTTTATTCATATATCCTCTTCTGTGACCTCACAGTCGATTGACCATTGGATGTGCACTTCAGAACCTCAGTGAAAGTAGTAGGCCATTCCAGTACTTTATGTCTACTGTTTATCGAATACTAAGATTTTGGATTGTACTACTCTGCTCACAAAGTGTTTTTTGCGCATACTATATAGTAGGGAAGTATGCAATTTCAGATGCCAATTTTTGTCCTCTTACCTCCACCTCAACACAAAACAGATTTGGTGACAGTTCGATCGACTAAAATTTGACAATGTTGACATTGTGTTTAATGTATACACAATGGGCGACGTATAAAAGTCAAATCTATTTAACTTGATTATAACCTTGATTATAGTAATATTATAGTATTAGCGGTAGATTCTAGTAGTGTTTCACCTGCAACGAACAGTGAATGAGAAGGTTCTGGAAAGTGATTTGAAATGGCTTTAAGATGGCCAAGATTTCCATGCAATATACATTCTTCCAAAACCTTATGACACTGCTCTATATACAAGAAAACATCAAAGCATTTTCAAAAGATTCTTCGTTTTTCTTTATCACAGGCCATCTTTTATCTGTGACTGTAATCCTGCTCCCACTCCTCGTACACCAGTCACCAACCACAGCTCATAATCTGCTAACTCTCAAATCAGTCTGTGCGGTTGCACCGGGTGGATGAAGATGATTAACACCACCTGTTTTCCCTAAAATAAAACTGACACCATGTAGCATAAATGCTGACCCTCTAATGCAGGCCTGAAACCTCTGTCTTTGCATGGAGTTGAATCAGGGAAGGTGTGACAGGCTGGGATTTGTCTGGCTGTTAATACTCCAAGCTAAATATACAACCACGTAGTACAGTACAGTAGTCACATTTGCTTTCTGTTCAGTCTGTCTAAATCGAACTGTCTCCATCTCTCTTCCTCCTCTTCATCTGTTTGTTTCCCAGCTATTTTTTTCCACCTCGCGTCCTTCGTCTGCTCTTCCTGTGTCATTTCAGCCTCTTCCTTTGTCAAAAGGAGTGATAATTTTGGCATGCCCTGTGCTATTCTTTTTAAGTCTACCTTGTTTTATTTTTCTTTCTTTTGTGTGGGTTTTTACAGGTTGCCTGCGAATGGCTGGAACTATGAGAGTTATGGAAACGCGACTCCTCCTGTTGCTGTGGGCTTTGTTTGTGTTTGAAGTGGCCTGCACACATCGCTCCGCTCCCAGAGTGCACCTGGCTTTTAAAGGTGAGCGCAAACATCTCTGCATACTCAGCCTCTCTCTTTCTCTTTTACATACACCCACATGCCTTAATGAGGACATACCAGTCTTCTATTGTTGTTATATAAAGCAAGTTGTATACATTATGCTATGGACTAACCTTAACCCACACCCTGCTGCTAGAAGACAATATTTTACTTGTGACCCAAATGACATGGTGTACAATACAATATGTCTAGGCATTATGCACTCCTTTGTCTAAAATACGACATCTATGCTCTTTTTACATTTGGTATTTACGTCTCTAAAAGTTTTTCAGTGGTAGAACAACTCTTAACTGTGTAAATTCTACTGTCACTGCTATCTAAGTAGCCTTTTGTAGCCTAAAACCACAATTGACTCTTCGCCAGCAGTTTGATTGTTTGATTGAACTGTCCACTGTATTGTCCAACAAGTATTGAGTAGTCTAACATTGGTGATTAACATGAAAATTGTGAAAATGTGCTTGTATGGGATTTGCAGGTACCAGTGGTGGTAAGAGTACAAAAAAAATGTACTCAATTACAAGTACTGTTACATTGCTGAAATTGTACTCAATTACAAGTAAAAGTACTGGTGTTAAAAAGTACTCAAGTAAAAGTACAAATTACTCTTCGTAAAAACTACTCAAATTACAAAATTACAAATTACTTTTTTAGCTTGGCGGTATTGGTGGAAATATCCATAAATGCGGAGTCAGACAAGATCCAGGCAGTAAAACACATTTTACATAACACATTTAAAGATACTATAAACACTTTTAAAACTGTTTAAACAGCATTAATTATAGATAATAATTATAGAGCACCTATAGAGGAAACCCACGCCAACATGGGGAAAACATGCAAACTCCACACAGAAACACCAACTGACTCAGCCAGGGCTTGAACCAACAAACTTTTTACTTTGAGGCGATAACAATACCCACTGCGCACCATGATTATTTTACAAAAACAATGTTTTGTTATTTTGAGTTTAAAGATAACAGAAATATGCACAAATGCACGACTTTTTATAATTTCAACTGATGCCTCTTTTATCTGTACGATCAATAGATGATGTAATAAATAAAAAAAAAAACACTTGCAAATTATGGAGAAACTTTGTTAATTACCTAATTCGCGAACTGAACCGTCAGAAACCACAGAACAACACTGCCTAGTGCCTAAACATATTATTAATAAATATAATATCACAGAAATTAAGTTATGTCTTCTTACCATAATGTTTTTTTTTTAGATTATAGATTGAAGTCTTAAAAAAAGGGTTTCTGCAGATATCATAATGTCAAATTTAAGACTTTTTAAGACCTCTTTAAGACCATAAAGTATTAAATTTAAGACCTATATCACAATATCAAAAGCATGCAAGAGAAAATGCAAAAACACAAAATTTGTGGTAAAATAAAATTATTTAAATAGAACAGTACTGAAGACAGGTTAGATGCACCATTGAAGTGCAGGAACAAAAAAACAAAGAAACAAACATTTTGAGGCTGATTTATACTTTCGCCTGGCTCCGCATTGCACACCTCCGCTGACTGTGCGCGCACCTCAAGAAATGGATGAGGCTTTAATACTAGACGTGTTCGTCATTGTGATATTCTTTAAAACATCAGGGGCCAGTCAAAAGAAACCTCACTGTAAAGTCAGACGGATAAACAGAGAAGTAAAACGTTTTCAGAACTACGTCATATCTTTAATATTGTTCAAGATTTTAAAAATAATTATTTTTCATTATTTTTATAATTTATTATGATTACAAAGTTGGGTGACGGGGTGGGGCAGTGGGTAGCACTCTCGACTCAAGGCAAAAAGGTCGCTGGTTCAAGCCTTGGCTGGGTCAGTTGGCATTTCTGTGTGAAGTTTGCATGTTCTCCCCGTGTTTGCGTGGGTTTGCTCAAGATGCTCCGGTTTTCCCCACAGTCCAAAGACATGCATTTTAGGTGAATTAGGTAAGCTAAATTGTCTGTTGTTGTAAATGAGAATGGGTTGCAGCTGGAAGGGCATCCGCTGTGTAAAACATATGCTGATAAATCATTCGGTTCATTCCGCTGTGGCGACCCCAGATTAATAAAGGAACTAAGCCAAAAAGAAAATTAATGAATGATTATAAAGTTTTATAACTATTCAAGATTTTTTTAATTAGAGTTTGATGCATCACTCACTTGTGTTTATATCTCAGACAGTTCTACCTATTAAAGTTAAATGTCAATGACAACAGAACATGGGTTACTCTACAATTATTTTTTTTATTCTGGCAAGAATAATAGCAAAAAAATATATATATTATTTTTTGCCCACTCAACAATTGACACATTATTGTCTGGCTAGTTTCTGTCCTCTACTAATGAGCTGAAAAGGCAATAATGGTCCAACAATCCTGTCTATTATCACCAATAAAGCCTATAAATTAAGCTTGAGTACACTGTAAGCCAATGGGCTCATATATTCTTTTCCAGTTATCAAATACTTAATTTGTTACTTATTTTTTTTTACATTGCTTTAACTTCAAAATGATACATCAGTTTAAAACCAATAAATGGTGAAAAAACATATTCTGTAATCTTAAAACCACCTGGGTCTCCACTTTTGCCATGGCCTCTTTTTTGTTGTAACAAACTTATCCCCTAGGTTTTTCCAAACTTTAACAAAACACTTCCTTTCCATGGCTGTTGCAATTTCTAGCCAAGAATTATTGGTCATCTGGTCATCTCTATGCTGATCACGCATGGTCGGATAGTTAAGATGTCTGTACAGTCGTACTGTTACAGACAAAATCTCTTCAAAGTGATTCAAATTCAACTCAAATCAAGCGCGGCGCCGCGCGAACTGTTCACCCGAAATCATGTCGCGCGCGTCCAAAGTAAACCTCCGCAAACACGGCGATGACGTCACATTCGCCGAGCGCACTGAGCTATTGCATGCTGGTCTTTTCTTATTTGTAGTTTTAATACTGCAAATTACAATAGGAATAGTGAAATAAAGAACTACACCACCACGAAACCAAGCAACAACAAAAAAAATTAAATGAGCATTAGGAGTAGCGTTACATGTACATCGGAAAAATAAGACCTGTGCAAACATATTTCAGACCTAGAACAGCGAATTTGAGACTTTTTAAGGCCTAAAATTTAGATGTTTATATTTTAGACATTTTAAGACCCCACGGAAACCCTGTGTAAGCCGGATAGTACAGCAGAGGGCAGGTTTCATCCACCTTTTTTTGCGCTTTTTGGATATGCACATAAAAACGGTTGATGGAAACGCTATAATGCGCATATATTTTGAAAATGTGTGTGAATGGACAAACCAGCAGGCTAAGCACATTGTAAAACATCTAAAGTGTTGTTTTGGTCATTTTAAACCGCCTCAACCATTTCAGTATTATATTATATTAATAATGACCTCCAGAATTGTCAAGAGTGCCTGCACTCCGTGTCTCGCGCCTTCCAGCGCGCGTTCACTGCGTGCAGGATTGCCTTCTGATGCGCAAGTCACTTATTAAATGAAGATAATTTATTCATGCAGCTGCTCCTACTGATGCTAATTCTGTTTTTACTTTTGATATTTGTCGCCAGTTAATCAGGTGGCAATTTTGTTCTCTTTGACTTGTTGGACAGAAACGCTGCTTTATTTCCAGTCTTTTATGCGATATTCCAGTTTTGGGCATACATTTAATTAGCATTTTAGATGATACCATAGCTAATCACATCAGCACAGCTGTCCCCTTTTTTCCCTATGTACCTGTAGGTGAACAGCTCCTCCAGGTGTGGCAGCATTCATCCTCTGCTATTTCTTCCTCATTCTGTCTTAAATCTCCATATGTAATTGATAACTTTGTGACTGTATGATGACGGTCACGTAAATCTGCAGTAGCCTGAACTTGTTTTTCAGTTCAAATAATGTACCAGGCTTTTCATTGGTCCGTTAAGATCAGCTTTTTTTATTGGCTACCGAAATGCTGGTCAGTGCGTGGCTGAAATATTAATTTATTTACAGTACTCTGTAACGAATTGTGATTTTAAAAGTAACGAAGTAGATTACTCAGCTTAATTTTTACTCAAGTACAAGTAAAATTACAGGCTTAAAATTCTACTCATGAAAGTACAATTACCCCAAAAATGTACTTAATTACAGTAACGTGAGTAGTTGTAATTCGTTACTCCCACCACTGGCAGGTACCTAGAAAGGCTGGGCAATATACAATTTCATCCTTTCCCGAAACCCATAGATATATACACTAGATGTCGCCTGGCCTATTGTTGTCTATTGGATGGAATGTGTCAATAGCGCCGCCATCTTGCTACAGGGTAGCACTCCTTTGAAATGAATGCGGGACAAATGTACATTGGAGGACTGTGGCCATCCAGAGCCAGAGATATACACATATACACATATATCTATGATCGGGAGTTTTCCTGGATGTTAGTATGTCATTTTTTTTTTCTAATTACGAAAATTATAATTTTACATCACTTTTCTACATTGATGGATCAGGGACCGCACGGGCATTACTGACAAAAAGCTTGTGTTTGTGTGTACAGAAATTTACTATTCACCCTCCCTGTTAAATTTGATCTAATCATTTCCTGAAACACAGCTCCTCTCCTGCTTTCACTTCTCATACTGACGGAGGGAGCGATTCGTTTGTGAATGAATCATCCCGAACGACTTATTCACTAACGTTAGCCGACAATACTACAAGTTTCTGGCAGCGCAGCATCTCGTTGTCATATTTCTTTTGCATTGTTTGCTGATTTTATTCAACAAAACTAGCATAAGCCAAGTGTTTAGTGCGAGTTGGAGCTTCTTTGTCTTATGGTGAATGCAGTAAGTGACTGTTATCATCAATAACGTTACCTGATTAGCACAAAAGTTCAGAACATACAAAAACAGAAAAAAACTTAATATTACCTATGAAATGTTCTGCCTTTGTGCTTTGATTTCTTTGTTTGCTCGTTTCTACACCCGTAGACAGCGCTAAA